ACTTAATTATCCCGCAGGTCGGTTATATCTACCGACAAAAGGATTGATCGAATTAACGAAGTATTTGACGTTCGCAGACGGTGTGTTATTATTATCATTATTATATAACATTGTACACAGTGTTTAGTATATATACGCGCATATCAGCCCTCGGGCTTCGCAGGCCAATTTGTACATACACCTAATGGCGATGCTGGCACGCACGCATAAAAGCGGCCAATTTGCCGGCATGGAGTTATGTGACAAACAATATTATTTTATAATATAATAACATACTCTGTCATCCCAAGTTAAAACTCCCGCACCCCTCGGTGATACATTTCGACTTTTAGCAACTCAAACATCACAAACTGCAGTCTTTGATTATTAATGCGCGCGCTTGAGTTTCACGATATTAATATAATAATAATAATACACGCTGCTGTGTATTGCATATAGGTACCAGCTACCAGTGTACAAACATATATATGTATAATGATGATGTTGACGATGTATACACACGTTGAAAGACGATGAGTCGCGTATGCTTCTTCCGACGGTTTGCATCCGGATGACAAGGCAATTAGCAACCTAACCCGCTGCGAACCCTTCAAAAGCACACTGTGACTTCAATATCCCAATATAAGATAGCGCCATCGATAAATACAGTGTAAAGGAAACGAGGCGAACAGTAGGTCTTCTTTTTAGTAAAAGCAGAATATTCTACTGTTTAACGCCGTCGAGGTACCCGACTCAATTAGACTCTCGTTTTATTAAGTAGACATAGTATAAATTATAATAATAGACATCTTTGATCACACCCGGTATACGTCAAAAGCAACTAAAATTAATATCCCGCTCATTAATTGTCTACCAGATGATTTGAAACTTAAAACTACCAAAATCAAAAGAAATCCGTTATTGCGATATCTATACAAAACCAGTCTTGTATCAATGTAAGGTAGAACCAATTATAAAGTTTTTCGTTGTCACAGATACAACTAATTTTGTGTTATGCAATCGAATCTTTATTCTGTGTCATATCAATTAAAATAAGCTTCTATATTTTTATTTGAATGCTTTTAATAACAAATTGTTTGCTATCACTACACGTTAAATTATCCATTATTCTGTAATTATAATATTATGTATTTTATAGATAATCCGCCGTAAACCAAAATCTCAATTAAAATAGATTTATTTGTTTGCTCAGTCTTTATATATTTAATGATGTCAATTTTTTAAATGAGGAGAAAACAAGTAGATAAAAAAGATTCAACCAAAAAGAAACAAAACCCAACAATGATGTTGAAAGGCCAAGGGATTAGGTTTAACCATCTAAGCATACTCTGCGTAATGCGTTTTACGTATTCGGCGAGGGTCCGGTAACATAATGTCGTAAAAAAGCGTTAAGTTACTGACAAGAACATAACATTCAGTATACGGTTTCAGATTGTTTGTACTATTACTATAATGTTTACATGCGGTTTACACTGTTAATTAATAACACTATACAGTATACCGGTTGTAAAATGTCTGCTTAGGTTTTTTCCTTGCTTTGAAACGTATTACATTATAATTAAATGACTACAATATTATATTAATTTGCTATAATAATATGTATGTATTAGTATTTATACATGATCGCATCCAGTACAGGTGGTTTTTGAGGAAAGATAGTTTACTAAATTAACTATGAATTTATTCGGAACTAATTGGACAATTTTTAACAATGTTTTTGTTAAATTAATTATATATTTCTTATTTTAATAAATATCCCGTTGCTAACAATTAATACGTTTATATTTACAAAAAAAGCCAGTACAGTGTATACTAGGGGCAGAAGGTCTTCGGAAGTTATTCAAACTATATTGAATCACTTTTCAATAAACGCTTCGATTGAAAAATGTATGATGGTAAAAAATAACTAATGTGTTTTATAATCGTGTTATTTGATTTCTGTGGGTTTCCCGATAAAAAAGCGTGATTACAGGTATTTGAGTTTTTTTTTTTGTTTAAATTTTGAGTTGAGAATAATTTACTAAATTAATAGAAAGGTTATATATTATTTATACATATATGTTTTGTTTTTATTATGTTTATCGATTTTACTATACATGAGAAACATTCCATACAAGTTTGGAAGTAGTTTGATGATTAATTTGGTCATTTAAAATATTTATAGCGTATTGTATTTTTAGGATGAATTATGTTTAATTTTTATAATGCTTTTTTTGATTTTAAAGGGGTGAACTTTCTTAAATTTTTGGTCCAATTAAGTCAATTTTGGTCAACAAAGAAATCGAAATAGCGGCTTAATAGATATCGTGGGTCCAGACACAAAAATTAAAACAAGACATTTGCAGGTCCGCATCAAAACTTATTAAGTTGGCTGCTATGTAAACCGTTCACATCACCATTACTGCCTTTAGTTTTTAAGTCCTATACTCCTATATACCAACCAGCGGTCAGTCATAAGACATTGTTTATCTGTTGTCCATGTGCCATTATAGACAATTTGACCATAATACACTTATTTTTCAATAACTTGGTGTTGGCAAGTTCTCTCGGCCCAAACTTTGTGCAATGTGAATATTTATAATATACATAAATTGCAATACCTATTCAATGTAAAAAATAAAAATATTATTATTTAAATATATTGATGATGCATTATTTCAATTCGGTATTGAAATGTTTGTTATCGTTCCATCCAAATCACGAAATTATTGTTTACTCTTACAGATTCGTTTTATGCGCTTATGTAGTACACATTATTATTTTTGTTTAAGAGGATGTTATCTTAACACACAATTGACGTGTCAGTTGTAGTTATCATTGTGCGTTGCTTGTACTTATACTGATTTTCAATCGTAAGATTCGTAACTTTAAGTGACTTTATTTTATCTGTCCATTTTTGCAGTTACCCAAGAACGTTCTATTTTACTGATCTCGTATTTAGTTACTTGCGAGTTGGCCGAATTGAAGGGGAAATTAAAAAAAAAAGATAAATCAACAGAAAAGGAATTCCCAACCGTTATAGTCGTAAATTTCCTTTTGCCATTTTGTAATCAACATTTTCTTTCGGTTCCGCGCACGGATGAAACGCTTACACATTGTATATTATTATTATTGCTATAACGAGACACAGTGTTATTATTGTATTTGTGTAAGTTCAAGCATTTTGAGCGAGGGGAGCGTGGACGGCGGTAGAGCGGTGACGCGAGGAATTATTGTTTTATCTTTGGGAAGAAGAAAAAAGGTCATATCCCAAACAGAATATGAATAATTTTACATAAAAAAATTACATTTGAACGTTGGAATAAAAAATGTAAATAAACGTTTTTGGTGGAAAACATTTTTGATATCGTAATTTGCCGTACACACTCATACAATATATTATAATATTATCTTTCCCCTCGACACTTTCTATTTTGTTCAAAGTTGATTTAAGCGAAAAAACAAAATAAACTGTTGTTTGATAAAACAAAAATTTAATTGAATGGTGTTTTTAGTGTATAACGTTCGTGTGCAGCATGCCGTCTGTTTATTGTTTCTTTTTAGTTGTGATGGATAAATAAATAAAATTAATATAATAATATTATAATACTCGGGCCGTTGACTTTTACTGTCTGCAAGCATTCTGAAAAATGTATAGAACCGTTTTTGAAAGTCGATATTTTCCGCCGAGTTCTATAAAACCATCTAATAGTACAACATTAGCGCATAACCACCTAACTACATATCTAGATTTTTAGGGCGTAATGACTTATGACATAGCAAAAAGACAATAATTACCTACACAACTGGAGTAGTTTCTAAAAGTCTTTCGGTTCGTAACGATCATGTCCTTGACACTTGTGTTATTGACACAAGTGTCAATAACACTTCTTCGTTTTTAGTGGCACCTTGGATACATTTCTTTTTTAATAATAGGTAAAAATATTATTTTAAATGCACTGCCACTACCTCTTATTGTGCTTGCATGTACTCAAACGAAATTAATCTAAGAAGGGGTAGCAATTGACAACCGTATTTTTTTTTTTAATGCCACCATTTCCAAAATAAATGTAAAAATTTAGGAGATAAGCTCGATGGCAGAGTAGTCATAACATATTCCTTCAATATATATAAACCTTCTTCGGGTCACATAAGAGTTAAGACTTATGTTAATAGAAGATTTTCACATTTAGATTAAAAAAATATGTTTCCTTTGCCTAAACTAAGTACGATATAAATAAATAACTTATAAGTTATAATTATTTGGCTTGCTATTTAGTGTCGCTGATATTTCTGCTACCACTAAAACTACTCACAATATAGTATATATATATATATATATATATATCTATTTACAGTAAACCCTTGGATAACAAGTCGTTCATTTCCGCTATTTAGACGAACTTTGATTCCAACTTAATGCATTTACTAAAATTAGTTTAATATTTAGATTCTGTCATCTAAATTTTAGATTCTGTCAACGCATACTAAAAAAGTTGTAAACACAGTTTTCTTTTTAATTTAGAGAGTACATATTATTGAATACATTTTAGACCACTGAATGCGGTTACTGCTTTAATTAAAAAAAGAAATACAACTATTTTTGTTAAAACGATTAACACATACTATACAGTACAATGGTAGCATTTTAGTACTATACACTATACCTACCATTAAAATATTTTTTTTTTATCGGTATCAATGACTGAATATTATATGACATGATCTAAAGTAGAGATTGCTGACCATATAATATTAGTATTGTTTTCATAGCAATGTCGCGCTTCGACATTGGCATTCCGTGTGATTGTATTGTACGATCCGGACGAGAGACGAAATAACAATATCAATACAAATACATGAATTATATTATTGTATGGAATCTGTTGACGATGGCACGAGAGAGCCGTAATCTTATCTGGAGCCCAGCGAGTACGTGCCGCGTAAGCTTTGCAGATTGGGCGACCGATGGCCGCCATACAAGGACAATCGGACGCCGCAGTCAGTTTTATGTCAGAAACATGGGACAAAACGTTTTTCCATTGCTGTGCTATCGTTGCCCGCCGTTATTCGTGGCCGTCGCTCTGTTATGCTCCGTATCGGCGTCACAGAACCACCGCGTCGGAAGATCCATCATCCAAGTGCCCATTAGAGATCAGTGCCAGTGTCCATCTGGCAGTATTGCATACGACGGACAGTGTAGGCCCTTGTTTCCCGATTGGGGGGACTACGACCTAACGTCCACCCAACGGCAAAACAACGCCAACGCCGTGGCCGTCATGGAAGCTGCTCAAGCTGTATCGGCGGCCACTAACCCCGGCGGGAGCGGCCATCCGTACGGCAGTCAGACTGACCGTAAATTAAATTTTTTACATACCTGCTTATTCTCTCTGTTATAACACTAATGTATTGCGGTGGTCTAAACTGATCATCTCTATATCCTATAATTAATATTAAGGGTAGTATACTCACAATAATATAATAGTAATAGTAATAATAGTAGGATGATAACATAACATTTTTTTTTTTAAACTGTTTTTGAAAAATATTTCAATATGAATAATTTTTATGCCGGTTTGTAAGTATTTCGCAACGCTATCGGCTGCCAATCGCAAAGTCGATACTCAAATTCAGAATTTGTAAGCTTAGTCATAAGCACATTTTAGGGGGTTTGTGTATCCATAGGAATCCAATTTAGAAATTAGCACCTCTGAAATTGTTTGCGTTCCTTCATCATTACACTGAGTTACATGGAAGAGTAGCGTTATAATACTTTGGATGTTTAAACTCATCTACTTTGTTTTAGCGTAAATGCGCCACTTCACTTAGTATATTCTAATATTACGGGGACGTTTTATCCCCTATTTATTAAGGAATTCGGTATAGGAAATGTTTTTCAAAATCTTAATTTAAAGTTTTTTACTGCAATGTGTACTTTGTTTAGTAATTAGTACTCCTTTTTTAGTATTTAATATTTGTTTTACTATCACAGCATCCATGACAACGGTTTTAAATATTTTTTCATCTACACATACGCAGAATGCAATTTTTTTATTCATATAGTAGTTTTAGAAAAATACCACTTATTATAAAATCGAAAGATTTTCAAATTTTAGAGATAATGGCAGGTAATTTTTCTAATGTGTTCCTTAGAGTTAATTTAGCTTGATACTTGTTGTTAAAAAAGATATTTTTTATTTTTTTAAAACAGTGATAACTTTTATCCTGAGAAATATTTTGAAAAAGGATAGGCCATTGTTTCTAAAATGTTGTTTTATTACATTTTCATCATGGGATATTTTGCTCTTAAACAATCATCAGTCAAGTAAAATGCATTATGCGTAGACAAGTTTTGCTCTAGAAATGTGAGTGTACGACGTCCTCTTAATATGCAAAATATTTGTTATTTTCTGGATACCAACAATGTACATCATGTAAATCAGAAAGTAATCAGAATGCTAATAATATTAAAAATATAAAATATAATTGTACAAAAACCAATGTAATATAATCTAAAAAAAATAAAAATTGCTTATCACTTATCTTACTATATTACTAGAGAGTTTAAAAAAGAAAATGGATCTCATAATGGTTGGATTGTTGAAAAATGATAACCATATCAACATTACAATAGCTACTAATTTGACTAAAACGAGGTTGAATGGTTTATTCACAACTGTCGACGCTAAAATCGGTTTTAATAATAAGTCATACAATTATTACATTTTCATGTAAACGTTTTCTATAATATTCTTTTCCTCTACGAATAATAATTATTAATAATATAAATATATCCTATTATATATAGTAGGATAACCTTATAAAAAAAATTGCACTTGTCCGCCATATTTTCCAAGACGGCAGTACTAAACATAAGCAGTGTAAGCACTGCCTATTTTGAGATCTAATAATATATATTTTGGTTTTTCATAATGTCAAAAAAAAAGTTTAATAAGTAGTTTTAATTTTTGTGAACTAACGAGTACAAGATATTTTGAAAATCTAAATATTAGTATATTAAAACAGATAAAAACTGGTATTGATCCGGATTTTCTAAAAATATTTAAATATTGGAAATTGGGAACGATAATTATAACTAAACTCATAAATTTATAATATTTTAAAACCCCTAAATTATTACTTTTTAAATGATTAAAGACAATAAGAACTTAATCGGTTCTTTTAGAATTAGAAAAATAAACTGACTATATTTAAAACCTTATGAATAAAACGAAGTATAAATATTGTTATGATCATTGTTATTAAATGCCTTTTACACGGGATTAACTGAAGTCAAAAGCTTGTAAGAGCTAAACCCTATTATATATTTTATGATAAAATACTATTTTTGGCTAGGATAAGAGCATTCAGAATATTTTACAAATGTTTGGGGGTATATTATTAGTTTTGGGGTACCTTACCCCCCCCCCCCAAAAATTTTTTTTAAGTCTATGATACTTTAGGAAAAATTAAGCTAAAAAAAAAATATATTTCTTATCCCCCTCCTCGAGAAAATCTTATATAAACCTCTGGATCCGATAGACCTAAATGCTTATGATCTAATACACTTTCTACGATTTTAGCAAAGGTACGCACCTTTAGAAAAGATCTGAAACACAACGAGTTATCCGTAATCATTTTCGCAAATTGAAATAATATAACTTTAACCTTTGAGTGATTTAGACTAACCGTAGCCGAAATTTTGATTAAAGCTTTTAAAACTTGTAATAGGTAATTTAAAAATAAACGATGGAGAATGCAAACATGTACATGTAATATAATAATATAGCCGCGCAAGCAAAAAATCTTTAACTGAATTTTGCTTCCCTCGGTCCCCTTGCTATACTTTATTTTACGAGTATTTTGTTCAAAATTAGATTTTCATGCTCAATCGTCCCATATAGTCTACCGGGATGTCTATAAATTGGTCGTTTTAAAACAATATCTCTTGGGTACTGTGCATGCCTTTGAACAATCAAGCAATTTAAAAATTGTTCTTCTGAGTGAAAAAATCTGTATATAAAATGAACTCTGTGATTATATTTGTATTTTAGAAGACGCTGTGAACACCTTTCTGTATGCCATTTTAGCAGATCTCCGAGAGCCCAGGAAAATATCAACAGAAGATAAGATTTCAACAAACTTTGTTCATTCTTGTATCTATAGTCATTATAGTTATTAATTCATGTATACGGTCAAAATACGTAAAATATATATATATATTTTTTTTAATATGTAATTTTTTTTTTTTTTTACAAATTACTGACTACCGAATACTATAATTTATAAAATTCAAATTTTATATAGACATTTAATTTTGAAAAATCCTATGCTTGGATTTCTTGTTTTTTGTGTTGAATGATATGTGTTTTAAAATTAAATTATATATTAACACGTATCACACAATACTAATTTATATTAGGTACTCCAGAGTGTCGTTAAAAGACAGCTAGAAGTTTCACTATTGGAATTGCGCCTAAAATAATATTTATTTATGACTTTACGATTGCTTTACAATGTTTTTATTTGCTTAACGTTTTATACTATTTTTAATCCATTCGGCGGCTGTTATAGATGCAAGAAACTCGCTCGCGTATTATATTACTAAATCAAAATATGTGTACTTTATCGTTCATTCTACCACATAATTTAACCCTCGCAAGACAAGCAATTTGTGTTAGTTTTGTGTAAACACTATTATTCAAAAAGTTTAAGGTCGACACGACACGTGGATTCAATGCTTTTAATAACACGAATTATTATTACGATGATTGTGTAAGTAGTACAGAATTAACTAGCAATAAATAAAATCAATTTAGTTAAAGAATTTTACATATTTATTGCTAAATCAAACAATATTTTTTTGTTATTATACATGTATAAAATTAGTAAATTATTTATAAAAAGAAAATACAGTGGGATCATAGCATATTGAAACCAAGGGGGTCAAAGGTTTCAGGAATAAAATCACTTTCAAAATAAACGATTCAATGCCAATATGTAGATCAATTGTAGGAAAAATTAGAGAAAATAGGTTGAGATGGTTCGGTCATGTTATGAGAAGAGATGAGGCAGAGTCAGTAAGAGGTGTTAAGAAGATGAATGTAAAGGGAAAAAGAGCAAGGCCGAAGAAAAGACAGATAGATGGAATAGAGAGTGATACAAAGATAGCTCGAGTGATTGAACGAGATTTAGAAGCTCGAGCTCTATGGGGTGTAGGACTAGAGTGGCCAGCCCCATATGTAGTTGGGAGAGTAAGGCAAGGATAAAGAAGAATGCATATATGTAGATGGTAGAAATAATTTGTTGCTGTTTCTACCTAATCGTAATCAACATTATAATAAAAATGATTTTGGGGCACCGTAATTTTAAGTTGAAAATATGTATATTTTTGGCATATTTTGCGATTTTAAAAATGACTGAGTAAATTATTTAAATTTTTGGCCAAATAAGTACCTTTCAAGCACTATTTCTGATCTATAGAGTTGCTACCAGAAGAAATAGGTTTAGAGTCTTAAAAAATATCGTTAGACACAAAAATAAAACCACTTCATTGTAAAATAAATACCTTCTCAGCTACGTATCGTAACTAATGGTACCAACATAAATTAAACATTCTGTGTAAAATGCTGCAAATTAAACGTTGTGTGTTATTTCCCGCCACCTAATTATAGGAGCAACACAGTTTTTAAAACGGTGAACGTAAACTGATAAAGCACGATCTGTTCACATTATCATATGTTAATTTGTAAACCGAAAACTATAGTAGTAATTGAACACTCTCCATTTTGTAACAATCTAGGTGATGCGTGGCTTACATTTATCTCATTTAAACTTTCGTACGTTTTATAACAATGTTTTACATTACAATTATAGTGACATGTTTTGTAATTTGCGAAATCAGCAGTTTACCCGTCTCAAATGGTTTTCGTCCAATAAACGGAGGTGAGTCCAAAAACAAAATGCTACTGCATCATAGTAGCAAACATATTGACGAAGATGTGACACTATTTGAAGAGGAAGATCCTTACAAGTTCAACAAAAGGTACAAAACATCCAGGTACACAAAGTTTATTAACGACATAGCCACAGCAATAGAGCCGTTACATAATATGAAACCACTTTTAGCTACAAATGATGTAGAAAACGTCGGTGAACAGTTCAAAAACAAATTTCAAGAAAATTCTCATTCAAAAAACGTCATGCTAAGAGAAGTCGAGAATGAGGTGGGAAAGGAAATTAATAATAATCTGGCGAAAGAAATAAACGATGTAATATAAAAATAAAAACTTGCTCAATATGATGAAAGTATATTGGCGGCGACGGATTGACGAACCGTCCCGGAAGCGAATTCGTCAAGAAACCATCCCATGATGGCAGCGTTGGGCCTTTATGGCCCGTTAAGCTACATGATGATGATATTGGCGGATAGCATCCAGCATAAATATAAACAACTAGCTGAGTGAGTAAAAAAGTACCTTACCTCAGATCAAAATAATAACAAATATATCTGATTTGATAAAGTTGCGTACAAAAAAAAGCAGGATGAAGAAGGAAGTTGAAATATTACAAATGTGGCGAAAAAAAAATAGGAAAATTTGGATTATTGCAAAACAAAATTTCAGATTAGCGTAACAACGATAATGTTTTTAAATTATTAAATACAAATCTAATTAATGCTAAAAATAATAATTACCATTGGCTTAAAATAACTAAAGATAATTTGGCAGAAGTGTCATAGATCGAGGTAACATTTTTGTAAACCATTAATTTATAAACCCAAAATAAAATTAAATAGTTTCTAATTATTGTATTTTGAGTTATTTACAACTATAAAGGTGCTTTAATAAACAAAATGGCGTGCTAGAGAAAATATATTACATATATTGTTTTATTTTTACTACAACAATTTTAAATTCGAATATCGAGAAGATTTGTTGAATTATTCCAGTTTTTATTTATATTTAACAAAGGTGGTAACGTGCTCTTTAGTATGATATTTTTAGAATAATAATAAAGCAGTATTTTAACAATATCCATTTGCGACGAAGGAAAATAATACCTACATATACATAAAATATTCTTTTAAACGAAAGCACGGGCAGTTTAATATATGTCGACATCGTGTCCAATAATAATCGGGGCGCCTAACAAAATATTAATAACATTGGTGCAAAGCGGATTTTTTTTTTGTTATTAATAATGAACGTTTATGGAGAGAAAGAAAATAAGTAATGACGGTCGAAAATTTAAGGTGAACGATTTTTTTCTCCCATTATAATGCAGAAGCTTACAATATTTTAATAACTTTTCCCTTCGCCTCGTTCAAATACGAGGTGATTCAATTTTAGTTCGTTTTTATTATTATTATTTACTTTTTTTAAATTGATGTTTATTAAGCAATTAGAGGGTAGTAGTAGTCGTCGCCGCCCAGTTATTTTGTAATAAAATATATTTGCAATTCAATTAGCCGGATTTTTTTTCTTACTCGGAACACTACCCCTAGTACGCCCATTTTTTCACCCTCTCGTTCCTGAAACCGACGAATAAAAGGATTGCGAACTTATTGTGTTTACAAAAAAAATGTTGGCCCGAAAAATAATAATCATCACGGTTCATCTGTAGGCAAATTAATGGCATTTAACACAGATAATCAAATTTTAGAAATAAAATATAATAACGAGTTAAATACACTGGACGCCAAGAAATAAAAAAGGGGAACTGCCGAGGGTGAAAAATTAAAATAAACATTGTAAAGTGAAGAGATTTTTATTTTACGAAAGTTTTACAAAACTACATTAACGCGTGCAATACAACCTTTAATTTTTAACATAGAAATGCCTAGGAAATAACCAAAGAAAAGACTTGTCGAAATTGCTGTAAGACTAAAAAGTTATTACATTTTAACTATTTAAGATACTGGTGGTCATCTATCCCGCATACGTCATAATAAGGTTAAAACAAATATTAACACACGTCATATAATATTATATAATATATTTTTGCGATCATGAGTTTAAAAAAAATATTTATGTGTGCTAACAGTATAATATGAATGTGTTAGAGCTTTCATCAGGTTTAATTATAAAATTCGCTTTACAGTATCCCAAATTAATCGGCTAGGCGCCAAACCTTTTTCTGTTTTTGAGAATAACTGTTTGCTAAAAAATGTATTTTCTAATAATAACATCATAAATGCCGGGATGCTGTAAAATAACGTGCTTCAGTGTGCACATAACCAAGAGTTCATGATGCAATTTCGCAGTCTATGTGTAAAATTTAATATTGTTATGTGGAACATAACACTGTGTGGTTAACGATATCGAAATAACTCGACTACGCAATAATAATATAACGGTCTGTATTAAAACGGTGAGTTATTGAACAATTAATTCCGCGATGGAATTCCTTAGCCGTTAAGGGAAACTAGCGTATTGTGTCGGAAGAGACTCGCGTCACGAGTATTATGGTGTTGTACATGAATGACATTTTCATGTGTGGAACTTCAAAAGACAATAGGCTTTTGTGTTTTGTCATGATAAAACGTATAATTAAACGCGCTAATCTTAAACTTTTGAAGTAATATGCGTCGCAAGGATTTCAATGAGAGATTATATTAATATTATGATATGTATTTTGCGCGGAGTTCCTAATAAATTTAATTAACGTTGGATTTCAAGATGAACTAGATTTTCATGTAGTTTACTGTAATTGTCTAATCGAAAATAATTATAAAACATGAGTACAACAGATCACATACATATTAAAACCAATTAATTTATGAGTAATATGTGAATATTATATAATATTGGAAGAGATTTAAACAATGTTTTTTTAATATGTATAGCATTCAAACAGCAATGGTCGGAGTCGCCTGCATCAAAAACCAAAACAATTGTTAATGTTCTAGTTTACAGGATGGTTCTTATATCGCTTCTCCGGTGGAACAATGGTGTAAATGCAAATGGTCGTATTTAAAATGTATTAAACATCACAAGACCACCGATATCTCCTAGTTTATTTATGAGTACATGTTCGTCGATAACAAAGAAAATATTGAAAACGGATGCGTTTAACAAGCGGAGGAGAACGACAAGGGAAGAACCGCGCCGGTATATTATTATGTACAAGATCATCTATTCAACCAAGTTTCCTCGCAAATTCGAGTACTCACACACATGC